AAATGTTCCTGTTGTATTTTTGGTAAATTCACACAACACTTTCTGTAAATGTTGTCCTTATTTCACGCTGCAGCAGTGAACCACACAAACAAAGAGTTTGATGCTGGAAAAGTTTAGTTACCGAGGAGATTTGTATGCATGCTCACACTTCCTGTAACCTGTCCTCCTCCAGGCTTTGGCTACCTGACCCGGCAGCTGATGACCCTCGCTGGGGGCCGCGTGGTCCTGGCTCTGGAGGGGGGCCACGACCTGACCGCCATCTGCGACGCCTCGGAGGCCTGCGTGGCTGCGCTGCTCAGCCAGGAGGTGAGGAGGTCGCCCTGACAACATGCTCATCCAAATCCTAATGAATGTGTTTGATCAAAGTAGGACAGTGCAGACAGAGAGTCCTCCATTTTTTTACTACTGCTATATTTTAGTATTTATATCTCAATCTACATAATTCAACTTTGCTGAATGCACACGTGTGTGGACTACAACAGCAATTTTGAGCAATGGAATTACAAAAAGCAACATATGTAGAAGCACATATGAGGAATTTGAAATGAAACTATACCAAATTAAAACATATATCATATGGGGTTAAGGAATCCGGTCATGTGAACGCAGCCTCTTGCAGTGTGTTTATATTTATCTGTGTGTTTCTGTCCCGTGCAGTTGGACCCGCTGCCGAAGGCTGTCCTGGAGCAGAGACCCAACCCCAATGCTGTTCGCTCTCTAGAGAAAGTTATAGAGACTCACAGTGAGTGAACCCTCCATAACACACATATATAAATATATATACAGTATGTTTCTAATAATGCACTTAACCTCCATCAGGTAAGTACTGGCGCTCGGTGCAGCACTTCTCCCCGCTGCTGGGACTCTCCCTGCTGGAGGCGAAGCGCGGAGACTCGGAGGAGGCGGAGGCCGTCAGCGCCATGGCCTCGCTGTCGGTGGCCAACACCACCGCCATGGACCAGAGGTAGAGCAGCTCCACCCTGCACAGAAGCATCTGTATAGTTATCAGCCTTTTGGAACTCTCAGTATAGTCACCTACTTAATACTGTGTATTAATAGCAAGCGAAGGTCTAATAATTGTGTGTTTGTGTGTGTTTGTCCCCCAGGCCGGAGGAGGAGCCGATGGAGGAGGAGGAGCCGCTGTAACCGGGGGAACCATGAGGGAGTCACACTGCTACCATTGACCTCTCCGGAGAAGAGTCTCGACGGACCCCTTCATTTAGCCCCCCCTAACCCCACTCACCACGTCGGTCACCTTGATTGGCGGCCCCTCGGCCTAACCGGGGGGGGGGGGGGGGGAGAGGGGGCGGGCTCAGCCTCAGAGTAGGGAGCCAATCAGGAGACGGAGGACTGAATTGGGAGAAAAAAAATTAAACATAACAGCGCTGCTCAGGGCGGCAGAGACACTCATTTTTTTTCTGTCAGCCTTCACACCCCCACGTTAGCGGAGTGAGCTAACGAGGGGGTGGGGGTCCGGTCAGAGAGGACTGCAGGAACACGGTGCTTCACACAGCTGACACACGGACAGCAGACATCTGTCCCACGCAGCTCGGGAGGTCCTTTTCTCTCTTTTTCTCAAAATATTTTCCCCCGCAAAACAAAAAGGGGGCATCATATTTTACACGATGCGTTCACTGTGGCCCTCACGCAGATTTGATGAGGAGACTGTGGAGTGAGAGGAGTGCCTTGGTGAGGGATTTCAGGATTGTTCAGGAAAAGATTGCCTTAAGTGACAAAAAAAAATAATCTCGCCGAGAAAATCGGTGCGAGGGAAGACGAAAACAATCTTTCAGCATGTTTACTACGAACGTGACGACTTTAAACGTCTCTCACAGCCTCTCTTGAAGACTTTACTTTTGGATGGATCTATTTTTCTGTAAAAAAGGAAAAAAAGCGCTTTGTTAAGGTAGTTGCCAGCTTCAGTAGAGAAACAAAACGGTGCACACATGAAAATTAGAAATGAAAAGTAAAAAACGGTTCAGCCTCTGATGTAGCTTCCCTTTAACTGAAGGCATTGCTTCGTACACACAGAAAGCATCCGAGCGGACAGACCGGACATTTCTTCGCAAGATTTCTGAATGTTATCCAAAAGAGAAAGCCAAGCAAGAAAAGCCAAAGCATGAGTTTGCATTTACAGTAGTCCTTCCACTTCAAACATTTCTCGTGCTGGCCCTTTGAGAAAAAAGGCTCCTGGTACAGTTTACTGATTTAATCACACATCACATTTCTTGTGGCGACTACCTGTGTTGCTAAAGTGAGCGAAACATGAATCATGTAAATTGAATATATTTTGAGAGGCAGTCATCGAGTACTGCCTGTTTGTATCTACATGTATGATTTTCCAAAATATCAATGTTTGGTAAGCGTGTCCACTTTTTATTTTTTATCGTATAAGATTATTTTTATAACTTTTTTTCATCCATAGATTTTGTGTCTTTATCCGTTTTCTGGATAGTTATAGGGCTGCCGTTCACACGCGTAGTACTATTCTTTCTTTCTTGTATTTATCGAAAAATAAGGAGCTAAACTTCCTTTCTTTCTTTATTTCTTTCTTACTACGGCTCTCTGCATTTTCATCAATTGTGTATTTATAACATGTACTGTTTATAGGAGATTTGTATATGGAAAATTTATAAATGTACTCTAACTAATGACAGCTATGATATTGTGAGCGGCAAACAGTGTGGTGTATGATATTACTCCATATTTAACTTGTCATCGACTGCACTGTTCGCCCTCATTACGCGGCACTGACATTGACTTTCAGAGTAAAAACATTTAAACACTTTGTTGCCTAAATTATACATTTTCCTCTTGTGCATGTGCGATTATGCACTTACCATTTAACTGTGACAACACACACGCATTTAGAGGCCGTTTTATGTAGCTCGCTGTTTTTTTAACGGCGGGAAAAGGAAATTAGGGGGCACAGATGTTTAAAAAAAGTGGAGTTTTATCTCATTTTGGATGGTCGAAATCTCTTCCTGAGCATGTGTTGCACTGATGGTGTCTCCTTCCATTTTCCTGCTTCAAATTAAATGATCTGTCATCTTATTTCTTATATCAGATTGTTTATAGGGAATGGGACTGTGAGGTCATAAATGGCAAGTCGTCCATCTTTGGAGGATACCAGGGAACTATATGGAACCCTTGCGCTCCTATTGGCTAGAACTCAACATATTGAACGTGATAGGCTTAGGGACAGGACTCTATCCTCCAAAGGTCGCCGCCCCAGAGTGCACCGCGGTTCCCCTTCCCTATTTAACGTTGATATCATTTTAAAACCTGTAAAATCATATCTGACAAAACATTCCACTTGTGTTTTAATTTGGCTTTTTTTTTATTTTGTAGAAACTTTTTACTCATTTTTTTGCTGTCTGCTCGCGCCAACTTTAACTCTTTGCATGGTTTGTGAGTCAGCATGCCTGCTTGTCTATGTAACAGAAATGTATTTGCACAATAGAAGAAGAAACACTGGAGGACTTTTTGAGAAATAAAACCCTCCCGACGGCACCAGGCAGGATGGTCTTCTTCCTCTCTGGTGGGCAAGACTTTGTCCAAATGAGACACATTTGATATTGTCCTTATTGAATATGGTTTCCAATAAGTGATTTTAACATGACTCAGCACTTACGGACTGTGTTAAAGAGAGCTCTGCCAAACCTCCTCACCTTTAAAGAATTGGGTTTGGAAAAAAGGGCGTCTGTTTGATTGTCACACACCTCGGCCAGTTCGATATATTTAACCACTGTGGCTCCAGAGCAACTCTTGGTTTACATGTAAATGGATAAAAAACGTTATTTTTTTGTTTGTTGTTTGTCTCTATTGATGAAAAATGTTATCTTTCTTTGGGACCTACGCTTTGGACATTTCATCTCTGACATCTATAAAATATATTTCTGAAAAAATACAACATGTGTTTCTTTTTTTTATATAAATGCAAATGTTTTTGCTTTTTCCTAACTGTTTATCTAGCTGATACCATTATCAGCTCCTTCACTTCAATGATTATTCAAAGTCCATGTTTGCACAATGGAAGTGTAAACACTAAAAAGTGCTGCTCGTTGAATTCCTGAGCTGCTTCACCCATATCTCATCTGAGAAACAATCCTTGTCTCCTACAATACAAACCGTATCTGTCATGTGCTGCACAGTACGTGAAAAAAGTAAATGAGCGGCCCAGCACATGACAGCAATGATGGAGGAAAGTGTGTCTCCACTGAAAGAAGATGACACACGAGGAGCGTCAAGTCTCAGCTGACTTTTATCTCAGAGGAAAATCTAATTACAGGATCCAAAATCACAAGAGTTCAAGCAGCATTCGTCAGGTGACTTCATCCTGAAAAAAACGTCTCGATTTAATAATTACAATTATTTCTAAAAGCCCAAATTGAAAAGGTTTTTTCTTTACCAACAGTCAAAACCTCAAATAATAACTAAGTTCATAGAATAATAGGAAATATGTGTCCTTAATGAAGCCGGAAAAAGATATTTACTTTTATGTTTGGTTTAATATAAAAAAAATAGATATAAACCACATGCAAGCAGTGGAAAACTTCTCCAATTAAATAATAAATTAAAACTAAATTATTTTAATGAATCAAAAAGAACAACAGTAATAATATAATTAAAAAGCTTTAATTTAATTATTAATTAAATAAGAAATAGAAAAAAATATCAAAAGACGTTGATAAATATATTTTTTTTCCTTGAAATGAATAACGGGTGAAAAATGAAATTAATTCACAAACTTTAACATAATTTTTTATATATTTAGTTTTACCAACTTAAACGTATACTATTAAAACAGATACAACTGTATTTAATTAATAATAATACACCTACTCTTGAGCACTTTTACCACATAGAACAGGATTTTAAATAGTTAATATTCTTTGTTTATCTCAGAAATAGGCCAGTGTGTTAAGTAAACAATGCAGCGGAGTAATGTGTGTCATTGCCTGCTGCACTGTCCAATGAGGGGAAGGCACTTCCTTCACATGCAAATACTGACCTGATATTTCCTCTCTGCCCACTGTCCCAGAGCCGCACCAGAGCAATGCAAAAGCTGCAACATTAGCACGCCAAATTCCCCGTTTTCATTACCCTTAAGAGGGGCGACCTGTCGTCTTTTTAATCCTCCTTTCTTTCCTTTCTCAAGCAAACTGCAGCAGTATTTCGGACATGCCTAACATCGTGCTTTTTAGCGGGAGCTCCCACCACGACCTGTCCCAGAAAGTGGCTGATCGGCTGGGACTGGAGCTGGGGAAAGTGATCACGAAAAAATTTAGCAACCAGGAGACATGGTGAGTAGTTTTTAAACTTAAAAACGACGCTTAAATGTCTTGAATTTTGACGTTAACATGAGATGCGTTTTGGTATCGCTGACAAGCTGTCCATGTTGCTCCTATCACATGTGGGTAAGTTAGCTTGAAGCTAACAATAGTTTACTATTCAGCGGGATCCACACGTGACTGGCTAGCCACATGTAAACACACCAGGCTAATAGCAAGCTAACCTCTTGTTTCCTTTATCGGACAGCTCTGCTATCTTCAGTAATGATAATATTTATGTAATGAGATTTCAATAACTATATCTGCCTTTTGTTTACGTTAAAAGTCACAAGACTTCCAGCGCCACAGTAGTGAAATTGCGTAACGGTGCATTTCGTTCATTGCTTATCATGCTAACTACGCTAACGTTACGTGTGAGTCCGGTGTGATGGGTGCTTATGGGCCAAAATGTGTACATGTGCTGCAGTTTCCCCTCAAGCCCTTTTTTCAGTCCAAACTATGTGAAAAGGCAGCTGAATGTTTTATTTCCCCTGTAACATGTTACATGTGAGCTGTAAACCTGCTAGTTTTAAAGTAGGAACTGATTAATCCGGGTGGACAACATGTGACGTGACACCTTCTCCACACTAAATGGATACTGTTAGCTAGCCAAGACGTTAGCCTTCAGACCTGTTGAGGTTATAACAAATGGATACAGGGTTAATCTTATTTAACAGTGTTATGTATGCACTACTGCTGTCCAATTTCGGCCTAAAATAAGTTAGCTTTCTGTTATTGAACATGTATTTATGCTAGCAGCCTAACTACATACGTGGCTAATTGTTTTTATATGCTAATGACAGGTTACATAAACAATTCCAACCATGACAATGGATTACACATGAGTTTTCAATGTACAATATTGTATCTAAACTAAGCAAAGTAAGAATAAAGATATATGTATGAAGCTCTCATTACTGTCTGTCCTGTAAGGGAAATCACATGCACTTAATTTGGGCTCATTTCCAACGCAGCCAAGCTAACCATTAGATAAATTACTGGCTGCACGCTAGCAGCTAGCCTCGTTTAATATTAGTTAGCTAATTACTTTTATTACTTTTACTTCTGCCTGGCCTTGAACAGTCAGTTCAGATCATGTTTGAGCCCTTCTACAGGATGACATACTAGCATCATGCTGCTCCACTTTGTTAATCTGAACACACCATAACACTGTTTATGCAATGCAGCTTTAAACTCAGCATTTATCTTAATCTATTTGTAGCTTTGTGACCCTCTCATATGTGCCCTTTAATGTGATTGATTCAGTACTAGGGAATGATGCACTGCATTAGTGTTTTGTGATCTTCAGTGAGCAGAGTTGGATTTAAATTCCTGCTTAATGATGCACTTACAGTATTGTAATGCACTCGGGATAAAAGCATCCAACAAACGGCAGTTGTTGTTTTGTTATCTTTAATTTCCACATAGTTTCTTTAGATAAACAGCTTGTAAAGGTGTCTCGACCCCTTTATCCCTCCTAAGCGCCTCTCTGCTGGTGGTGTTTCCACCCACAGCTCTAAAATCCAGGGAAAACTCTGATTATCCTCGCTCAGGTTTCTCTCTAGGGAACACTGCTGTTTGGGCGACACAACGTCCAAAACAAAGATTATGTTCCCATCTTCACAGGCGAACAGGGAGGTGAGAACGGTATGCTAATCCCCGCTCTTCTCACTGCTCAGATACAGGTTTTTGCCAGGTGAGAGGTCAAGGACCAGCGTAGTCCTGGGAAAGACATGTTGTTTGTTTGCACAGAGAGAAATGTCCAAACAATGATGTTGTTGCCCTTTGGCTCCAGGGCAGGCATCCAGATGTATTGTATAAAACAAATGTTATTTAAACACTAAAATGATAAATACAGTAGACTCAAGATGGAGAGTATAACTAAATAAAAGAACCATTTTGGCAATTCGTCCCAGATGTGCCGGACGTTTTCTGCCTCTTTGTATGGAGGCCGTCACTTTTTGTGTGTCCCTGTGTCGTGCTACCTGTTTAATTGTTGCCGCTGTGGCAGGGAATGTTTTGCTCAAGGTTTTGTCTGTCCATCCTGAACGACTCAACATGCAGTTTGAACTTATAATGTTTACATTTTCTTACATCTCTAGAATAGAATCACAGAAAACCTTGTTTTGTTTTTTAACAGAGATTGTGGATATCAAAAAGTGTCCTTTTATCATTTAAATAAAATGATAAGTTATATTAAATTGGTTTGTCCAAATGATCGCCTAATTATTGCCAATGCCTTCAGTTGGCTTTTGGTTACAGCAATAACATGTTTGTTCACACCCTTTAAAATACCCATTCAAACACTGGGTGTGAGCTTTTACTCTCAGTGATTCAACACCTTTACAGGCTGAGTGCTGGCCTCCCTTAAAAAGAAAAACCGCAGGCCCTGTGACTGCAGCCGTTACATCTGTCCACTGATCACATGACAGGGCCCTCACACAGGAATGTTTCACAATGTTTTCTCTGCTCACTGTGTGTGTGCCTCATTTTTTCTCCTCACATGAGCAGAGGGACTCAGCCCTAACTTGTCCTAACACTCGAAGCAGCTCAGTCACACATAACTCACCGCTCATAAATCCATCGTTGAACTTCATTAAAAACAGAATGACCTTATAATCTGTAAGGGATAAGTGAAAATGTTCTGTTTGACGTGTTTTCCTCTGTGTGTCGCTGCGACAGTGTGGAGATCGGGGAGAGCGTGCGCGGAGAGGACGTGTACATCGTGCAGAGCGGCTGCGGCGAGATCAACGACAACCTCATGGAGCTGCTGATCATGATCAACGCCTGCAAGATCGCCTCCTCGTCCCGCGTCACCGCCGTCATCCCCTGCTTCCCCTACGCCCGGCAGGACAAGAAAGACAAGGTACACACGCCACGCCTCTTATATCTGAATATCACCGATAACACAAACATTTTAAAACTTTGACCTTTTGATTGGGTCAAAAAAACAAACATGATTTCCTTCCCCTATTTTAGCATTTATAAGCATTACCATTTAACACCTATAACTCCCTGAAATCCCCCTTGTAAGAAAGTGACCTCTTCTTTTTCTTCTCCTGATATGAGCGCACAAGTGAAGCTTTCTGTGTCAAAATAAAAATAAATGTAATATAAAATATTATTATATCCAACCTCAATGTTTTCTTATGTGCAGAATTATTTTTACGTTACGACACAAGTCACCTTAAATGTAATGTGAGGAATCCCCCTCTAGCACCTGCAGGTTGACATGTCACATTACGTGTTGGGAATACTTTCATGTACACGCAGGCACTGCAGCGATACAGTCGATCTCTACCCCTAGAAAACCTGAGATTGACACATCGAATGTTCCTGCAGGCGCAAAAAGTGCTTTGGGAAAACCTGCTTATCCTGTAAATCATTGTCTGCTGTTGCTTCAGTTGTTGATGTAACTACAACCGCAATGCAGGTCCACATGAAGCAACAAGAGCGAGGCTACGTGACGGCCTGCACATCAGTGTGACGCTTCATTCCCCTCATTATCATATTCTTTAAAGTACTTTTTTTTTAAATTTCTTGTCACTGAACTCTGCTTTTAACGTTTACATTCATGTCAATGTTCTGCAAAGGCTAAAATCCCTGCAACATAGTGACGTCACTGTGTAACAGTCGCACTTCTGTTGGCTGGAGCTCCAACACATTGTGCGTGATAAGCTACATCACAACAGAGCAGGCCAGCTAACCAATCAGAGCAGATTGGGCTCTGGTTTCAGACAGAGGGTGAAAAGAGGTTCTGCAATATGAGAAATAAATAGCTTTTTGAACATTAAAGCGTGAAGACATGTTAAAGTAGAGGTACAAAATACAAATATGAACCTGAAGATTAGCATAATATAAGAATGTTAAAAATATATATATTTCGCAGTTGCAATATCAGTCAAAATAATCCTAATTAGTGTTTAGGAGATAAAATACATTTTGAAACCTCCATAAAAACATTTTTACAGGGGATTTGCATTCAGGGAAAAAGGAAAAGCTTCCAATATTTAAAATTCCCGACATCTTCTTCTCACTTACTCACCTCAAGTGTCTTGATGCTTGTCCCAGAGTCGAGCTCCCATATCGGCGAAGCTGGTGGCTAACATGCTGTCGGTGGCCGGCGCCGACCACATCATCACCATGGACCTGCACGCCTCTCAGATCCAGGTCAGTACAGAGACATGTCATCTATTACTGGGTCCAAACGGGGAGATAAGAGATTAAAGACAGTAGTTAATTAATGATTGTGTGTGTGTTTCTTTACCTACTCACTTTCTGAATAAGGCATTGTTTTGCGTTACGGAGCAATTTAGCTTTCTAATATTAGTGACTGTTAAAATGTATTTTGTATGCTACTACTCATTCTAATATAGTACTAATACTCACTCACTCTTAGGCGAAGGCACAATTATCTCACACATTTTGTTGTTTAAAGGTAGAAAAATAGCTTCTGTTTTAATATGAATTACAGACGGGGATCAGGATGAATAGATAATGAAATAAAGGGACTGTACTCATGATGTAATGTGCTTTAAATTGAATTGTGCCATGTATTTTTCTGTATTCCCATTTATAATGTTCCATATTTCTGAACTTGAGTCCATTTGGTTTTGTAACCTTTGCGTCTTTTTTTTAAAGGGGTTCTTCGACATCGCTGTAGACAATCTGTACGCGGAGCCCGCTGTGCTGCAGTGGATCAGAGAAAATATCCCCGAGTGGAAAAACGGCATCATCGTGTCTCCAGACGCCGGAGGAGCGAAACGGTGAGATGGAGCGAGAACTCAGGAACATGAGGAGCGATTTTAAATGATTATATTTTTATAATGTTTCAAATGATGGCTGGAGTCTTATTCTCCATAAGGGAAATTCAAAGTGTAGTCTATCTAATATCTGTTTCCCCCTTTGTCTCCACGCAGCGTGACGTCCATCGCCGACCGTCTGAACGTGGACTTCGCTCTGATCCACAAAGAGAGGAAGAAGGCCAACGAGGTGGACCGCATGGTGCTGGTGGGAGACGTCAAGGACCGCGTCGCCATCCTGGTGGACGACATGGCCGACACCTGCGGCACCATCTGCCACGCCGCCGACAAGTCAGTGACATTTAAAGACTTTGAATCCGTCTGTTCCTGGCATATCGTACACACAATTATAGTATAATAATTAGGGATGTCCCGATCACCTTTTTTTGCTCCCGATCCGATTCCGATCATTTGATTTTGACAATCTGCCGATACCGATTTTTCCCGATCCGATCTTCATGCAATGCATTAAGAGGAAAAAAAGGTAACGGATAACGGCTGGCCATCCAACGCGATGAATTCAGCTCTCTTGGCTGTTATTCTTTTGGCCTTTTCACTGTTCTGGGGCAGTTTCTCTTTCCTTTTAAAAGTCTCTGAAAGTGTCGGTTGCTTCAGTGCCGTTCCCTGAGTGGCATCTGTGTACTCGTCGTGTTGTTGGTGTTTGTTTCTCAGGTGGCGTGTTAGATTGGTCGTGTTGAACGTAGCTCTGTTCTTTCCACCACGCGGAACCTCCGCCTTGCAAACATTGCATCTGGCTGTTACACTGCCTTCGCTTACAATTTTATAATACTTCCAAACTCCTGACATTTGCTCTGTCCCGACTCCCGAGTCACCAGCTGAACGTAGCCTCTCGTTAGCTGCTACTATTAGACACTGCGCCCACTCTGTGGCTTTGAGAGGAATAAGCAACCAGGTCTGAAAACAAGCCCAACAGAAGCAACACATACATGATGTTGTGTAATTTTAAACTAAAACTAAGTCCTCAGGATGACTTTAAGACGTGAACATGGTCATTTTAGTTTTGTAACATTAAATAAAAAAAATTATATAAAAAAAATCCCGATCCCCGATTTTTATCTTTTGATTCGGATCGAGACATCTCTAATAATAATTATATTATTTACCAAACATTTCCTCCTCCAGGCTGATCGATGCCGGCGCAACGAAGGTCTACGCCATCCTCACACACGGCATCTTCTCCGGTCCCGCCATCTCTCGCATCAACAGCGCCCCGTTCGAGGCCGTGGTGGTGACCAACACTATCCCCCAGGAGGAGAAGATGAAGGCGTGCCCCAAAATACAGGTACTCCTCTCTCACACACGTTAATGATACTCACACGTTTTGTTCAGCAGGATAATTTCCACATATTAACGTTATGCTATGAAGCAGGGGTGCCCAACCAGTCGTTCGCGGGGAGATTCCCAGTCGACCGCGAGATGTGTCTAAAAATAGAACAACAATATTCTGTTATCGTTAGGGTTGGGAACCGAAACTCGGTTCCAGATGAGAACCGATAAGAAAATGCCGGGTACCGGGTACCCATACAAAATACACAATTTCGGTTCTGCTTAACGGTTCCTAAACGCGGTAGACCCTGTATTCCAGCGGGTCCGTCTGCACCGCGGTGCTGCGGTGACCCGGTGGAATACAGGGCGGACCTGGAGAATCACAGAACGGCCGGTCGTCAGCGGGCCGTTGACGGCCGGCTCGGTACGCTGACGGCCGGCACCGCCCTTCATTTTTTTAAACGGCATCATATAAATTGCGCTGACAGGCGACAGAGGTCCACAGTTGCCCCGCAGCGATGCTCCCCCCGCCCTCCCGTAGACATTTCACGAGCTCAGTCACTTCATAACACCAAAGATAGGTCGCGGTAAACGCTCTGAAGTGAGGCTCCACTACACTAAAAAATAAAAGGCAAAGTGTAATGCCTGTTAATAGCTTGCCACAGGCATAGCTCAGTTAAAATAAAGCACAGCTATTGTGCAATACATTTGTATTGCATGTATATTTTTTAGTAACAATTTCAGTTAAAGCTTTTAAGAATAAATATATTTTTGTTATCTAAACGTTTGACCTCTTTATTTTACAATTTTGGAATCGAAACGGGGAATCGATAAGAACCGGAATCGATAAGCAGAACCGGAATCGAAATCGGAATCGATAAATTTCAAACGATACCCATCCCTAGTTATCGTTAATGTCCTAACATAATCTTCCTGTGCCAGAATAATGCACTTGAACGCATCAAAGCTTTGTGATTGGCCGGTGTGACCCCATGTTTCGGGGCGCGACTGGTGGGCAGTGCACTAGTTCGCTGACGTTGTCCGTGTCAACCATGGACAGGAGTGACAGTCCGCACACACACAAGACCGCAATTATGGCAGAAGCAAAAAAGCCCAAAATATATAATTTTCACTCCGAGTGGGAGGATGATTATTTTAGTATCTATTCCAATTCAAAGTCCATCTGTCTCATCTGCAATGCGAGCGTGGCTTTATCGAAGAAGGGTAATTTAGGAGCGGCATTTCAAAACAGTGCACAAACGCTACGAGACGGAATTCCCTCCTGATTCTGCCCTACGCTCCAAAAGGGGAGGGGCCTGAGAGGACAGCTAAATGCACAGCAGTCCATTTTCACCAGGCCCAACAACAAGAGCAAGGCTGCTACCATAGCATCTTATCGTGTCAGGCACGTTCTTGCGAAACACATGAAGTCTTTCAAAGACGGCGAAGTTGTGAAAGAAGCATTCCTGGAGGCTGCCGACGCGCTTTTGGGGACAGTAAAAATAACAGAAGCATTTCAACAGGTTTTTGATAAAAACTCAAGTTAGATACCGTTATTAATCAGCTGTAAGTTTTAGTTTATTTGAATTGAATTTGAATTGTTTGAATTTGTTTTAATTCACACACACACACATTCACACACTCATTCCTGGGTAAGAAATCCATGTGCATCATCATTATAATTATTGTACAAAATGTTATAAGAATGCAAACATTAAGATCTGTTCTGTTTAAATTGATTATAGTCTATTATCAATTCAGGTTAAGAAGCTAGTGTTGCTTGCATCCTATTTTAAAGGCATTTATTTTTATACTCTACTAAAATGCAACAAAAATGGTTTGATTCTATTAATGTTGTCTTTTTTATTGCACGTTGGCAGCAGATTCCTGAGTAGCTTCAGATCTGAGTTGTCTTATTAGTAAGCCTAATTTATACTTTTGTAGCAACACTATTTTTATATAATGGCAAAGAAAGGGTTCAGAGTCTTTTCTTTTTCCCTGAGTCATATGTGGCAGCACTGTTCAATGCTTCTTGAAAACATTTCCCACTGTAGTGTGTGACGTGTACACTGTTGTGTAACTTCAGTTAAATACTTGTATGTGTGTAGATTAGAAAGAGGTGAGATAAAGGATCTGCAGTATTTTATGAAGTATTAATCGTACAAAGGTCAGTTTTATACAAGTAGAAGTGTGTATTTAGCTGGTAGTAGGCTGTCAGTAATGGCTACGCCTCTCTATTTGGACTGGTAGATCTCGGCAGACTGGCAACTTTAAAAGTAGCTCTCGGTTCAAAAAAGGTTGGGCACCCCTGCTATAAAGGATCTACATCATGGTCACACGACTTCAAGTCACTTAGACACTTCTTAGCAACCGCCATTTTTTTAATACAGCAGTGGAGTGTTTAATGACGTCTTTTGTCTCGTTGAAAAAAGACCACTTCAGATTGAGTTAACACCACACGTTATTTCAGACTAACAACTAAAATCGAATTAGAAAACCATTGACTTCCAGGCGAGGGAAACAGGAAGTGGTAAAATGCTGAGTCATTTCTTGGTTTTAGGACTCATTCGTGCACCTTGTTTCCTCCAGGTCATCGACATCTCCATGATCCTGGCGGAGGCGATCAGGAGAACCCACAACGGCGAGTCCGTGTCCTACCTCTTCAGCCACGTACCATTATAGAAACCCCTCCCCTCTCAGCGGGCACTTCTCTGCCACATATCCTCCGGAAAAAAGGCTGATGACTGTTTAAAGGTCACGCCCACACAGGAGACCAAGTTTGTATTTATGAGCATATTTTCTTTATTCCTGCTACCCTCCATCAGCGAGGCCTGGCCTTCACTTTAACCAAAGGCTGTCTGTGTATAATCTGTACCTCATATTGAACCCACTTCAACGAAGCATTCCACGATGATTCGGACGCATTCTGGCTCGTTCTGCTTCACAATGTGAAATAAATATGCACCTCCCCCCCTAAGTGTTTGCTTAACAGCTGCTAAAAGTATTAAATGATAAAGCCTAACCCTTTACTAGACAATGCTTTATAGCTGTAATACTTTATGCTTATTGCTATCATTGGACCACGGTTTAAAAGCTGCACATGTGGAGATCTGACAGGAGTTAAAATAAAAACTTAATTTGCTCACTTTCTTTAGTTTTTCTTTCATGAATGTGCTTATGCAACTCTTACATTTGCAGTATAATTTCTCCCATAATAAGCTCTCTTTATGACACCTCTTTCCCTTTGATAAACTTTGGTAAAAAATTACGAGTGTAATACGAGGTGTCGCTGGGTGTTAAACCCATGTTTAAAAAGGTCACGAAAACAAATTGAGCCCTTAGATTGTTAAAGATTTCAGCCATGATTTATTATTAAAATGGTGTGATATGTCATCACAGCTGTAATGGGTCACTTGTATTCCTTAAAGCAGTTTTCACTGTTTGCCTGCAGGCGGTTTAAGGTTCGGTGAAAAAAACGTGATAATATTTCTTTTTTTTAATAAATGTAACATTTTGAGCTGTTTCTTGACAATAAAGCTTTGACAATGGCTACAGATGTTCGTGTTGCTCTGCTTTTTCAATACATTTAAAGGGACACTACAGCAAGATAGCATTACATCTCTAAAGACTCATTTGTTTATTTGTTAAATAAAAGCTCATATATCCTGACTATTAGTCTGTAGGCATCTCGAAGAGTGTGCCGACTACACTACCCATAAGGCAACTCATTCACATCCCACTCTGGTAAGTTTTCCTAGAAATATGATGGACAATAGTTCCTTTTAAAATAGCTAGTTGAGGTTCAACATACTATTATCCCAAACGCAGATGTTAAAATAGTTTGTTTTGATGGATTGCAGTGAGTGAAATAAGTACATTTAGTACTGTACTTAAATCCGATTACAGGTACTTAATTGTTATACAATATTTACTCTTCCATGGTTTTACCATTTCCTGTTAATTTACATGTTTTCCTGTTCAATTATCTGCATTAAAACGCTGATAAATGATATAACTACAGTTAAAGAGGTAAATGCAGGAATTTGACCTTATCAAAATAGTCTATAATTTTGTAAATAATCTTAATACTTAATAATGATTGAAATTGAATCAAGCGTTAACTGACGTACACATATAAATGTTTTTATTTAAGGGACAGATGCATGGAATAAACATTAAACTAAACCGCCACCAGAGGGCGCCCTTTCTGCATTAATCTGCAGTCAGTAGCTGCAACAGATACAAGTAATACATAGAAATAATGTGCTTTTAAAGTTATTTTCACATCAAATGTAGCTGAAGAAATGGCACATTTGACCTGAGACGTATTATATTGATAGTCAAATAAAGTAAAGTGGTGCCATGTTGACATAAATTAGTGATAATATGATGAATGGAGTGGATACATTCGCAAAAAAACAAATCTATTTATTTACCACAATATGTGGCTCCTTCAGGGTGTTTCAATGTTTTATCAGGCACATGAGCATGCAGGGCCCCGTCTCTCCAGCAGGGGGCCCGGAGGCCGGCAGCGGTGATGTCAGATGTCATTAGCATATTTCTGACTATATTTGATGCTTGCGCAAAGACGCGCCACTACTGCTGCAGCGCACCGACCAGAGAGCATCCAGAAACCCTCCGGTAAGACCCATTCAACAAATACCTCCTATTGTCTGAACTGTTACTGCCTGCAGTGAGAGTGAGGAAGAGCTACGAGGAAGATGATGAGCCTTGTATAAAGAAATATAGGATAATACCCCAGCGTGTTTTTGTGTGTTTAACAGCTCATAACAGAGTGTAATGTGACAGCAGGGCACGCATGTGTGCTGTGTCTTTGTCTTACACATCCACAGTGGATTTCCTTTGTTGCCTTTTATGCTCGGGGTCCGTTATAAAATGATGTGTTACGCGCGTATATTTAGCCACGGTGCGTAATTTGGGAATATCTTTGAAATTGTGGAGTTGAACTTGGATTTTGAGGCTTGCATGAAGGCAATCAGGGCGGTGGTTCCTCCAGATTGCACCCCAAGGAGGAGAAAGTACGTGACAAGTGATTTTTTGGATGTGGAAATCCCCTGAGAGGACTCACAAAACCAAACTTTATATTTTTGGATGACATCATTTTCATCCTATTAGCGATTTTCTACGCGTAAGAGTTTATTTTCCCACCATATTTCTTTCTCGGTCAGCGCAGGATTGTGGACTCCTGTTGTTATGTAAATGCCCCTTTTTCCCCCACTGGCTTCATTGTCTGGATCAGCCCTTCCCCTGCGTGCAACATCCCTGGCTGTGTGTGTTGGATAACGGGGAGGATGGCAGGCAAATCACGCTGTGCAGAGCCGCAGGCGAACAAAAAGAGACGGACGCACATTAGAGGGAAAAGTAGTCCGGGGTTGCGCATGTACTTAAACTGAACAAATTATTATTATTTTTGACCACTGAGATTTAGGCAACGCCCTAAACACAAAGTCATGGAGAAGCACATGTCCAAATAACATTGCAGATACACATGTGTAGATATTAACATGTGCTTTGTTCTGATTTCACAGACTACCTGCAACAATGGCTGACAAACCCGACATTTCAGAAGTGGAGAAATTCGACAAAGCGAAGCTAAAAAAGACCGAGACGCAGGAGAAGAATGTCCTGCCTACACAAGACAGTAAGTAGGAGCATTACATCACTTTTTACTGTCTGTTTATGTTTATTTTTGACAAATCTAATCTAACACATTCTCCCTCCTCCCCTCCACAGTCATCGAACAGGAGAAGAAAGACAAGTCGTGAAGCCCCTCCTTCCCATCATGCACTGTACACCCCTTCCTCCTCCTCCTCCCGCATTGCCTTGTTTTCAGTCACTTCTTTTTAGATGTATAACTTTGTAACCGAAATTATGAAACGATAACCACGCTGCACAGCCTGTGGGGGGTTCAGGCCCCGTCCCCTCGACGCTCGTACGCCACCTTCATTTCCCCCTGATGATGAGGAGGATGTGGGGCAGAGGAGGGGATGCACGTCCTTTCTTTAACACCTGATAACACCGAGGTGCAGCGGCCGGGGGCCTCGGGGACGGGGCGTGGCCTGGGTCCCAGGAAGCTCCATCGCCCCCTCAACACCCTACTTCCTGTATGGCTGCTTTTGCGCCCCGAACCGTGGCGTCAAGCTTTTTAAGTTTTTAATTGTTTCTTCTAATTTTCGGGAAATGCACAACTTTGTTTGTACGCTGGCCAAAATATAAATCCCCCCCCCAAAATGTTCTGTGTTTTTGTTGTTGTTCTTTTGTATGTACACAAGGATAAACATATAACAGATTCCATCTAGATCTGGGAGATGCTCTCAAATGGACCTGATTTGGGGTTACATTGTAACGCCTTGTTTGTCAGAGGGATTCGGGATAGCTTCAAATCTGTCTCGTCTGAAATGAGGAAAAGAGCAATTGATTCAATTTGTTTGCTTTCAACATTCGTTGTCCAAAGTTTCCAGCGGTCATGTTACTCTGCCACAAAAACGTGAAATGTTGTAATAAAAAAGATTTTGTTACTAAAAGATTTGTGCTACTTTTTCTACACACTCTTTACCAAAATGCTCACATTTCTAGAGGTGCCGTTTGCTAGCATTATCGTAGATCAGACTGCTCGATTACACACTCTCCAGTTGCCAAACAATCCTCCAGCATTACTTAAGGGACGAGGCTGTGCAGCATTATGAGGCTTACATGTCTCAAGCCCTGCAGGGATTTACCAGCACAAGAGATGAATTTTGTATCAGTGAGGGGAAATGAAAGCTGTTTGGTTCGAGCACCTGTCACGAAGGTCTTTTCTCAAAGAGGCTGCTCACTTTAAAGATTAAAGCAATCCAGGAAGTAGACTCTTCCTGGACCAACAAAGCAGTAAAGACGACTTATTGCACCTTATGTTAGAAAGAACCTTGCTCATGCATCTGTTATATATGGTATGATACAGTGGTGGGATTATGGGACAGAAGGCCCTGACCGCAGAGGACAGTCTCTTGAGATTGACTTACTTCCTAAATTAGCCACCGTCTATAAGCCTTAATTAGCATGACATGACTGACATTTCCTGTAAACAGCATGCATTTATTCAATGCGAACTGGCTTGTGTTCAATAAAGTTAGTGACCTTTAAAGGAGGAACCCCCGTCCTCTCTGCTTCCCTACACACTTTGAATTAGTCAGAATGGGTGTAGCATTTATTGCTAGAAGTATCACGTGGGACATGAGTCGTCATTTTTGTTAGCATGTCAGATTACTGCATTGTTTGTGTTTATCGAGGTTGCTCAGCTGTTTCTTTGCATGCCGATGGACAGATCGATTTCAGGTGGGGTGACAGTCCGCTCCGTGTGGGTGTAAGTGGATTGGTGTTAAGTCAGTGGCTCTTAAGAAGGCATTAATCTGCGTGGAGGAGGGGAACGTGTTGAGGTCAGTGGGCAAAGGAGATGGGATTAACACGCCCCTCTGCATGTTGCATGGCTCCACTGCTGCACCGCGGAGAGGGGAAAGTGACGGAGGATTTAAGGTGGAGTCACTGTCCACTGCCTGGTTACCCATAGCAACAGCTGCTGCTGCTGAGTCACTTCCTGGGGATGGGCGTTGGGATGCATGATATCCTCGAGGGGGCTGTTCCTCCTGGTGGGGGATATTTAGGAGATTAGCACATTATGTTCATATGTTGGTATGAAGTCATATTCGCCCATCTGTTTGTGGAGCTGGTTAACTGATTAACCAGGGGATTGATTAATTACCGATGCCGTCGTTGAAGCTCCATGAGCAGGCTGTTGCAGTTTGGGTTAAAGGGACAGCTCACACCAAAAATATTGTAGTGCTTTTTATCAATCTACATTGTTTTAGCTTGACTGGTCAAGTGTAGGGTGTAAGGGAAGATATTGGCCGTAGAAATGTCTGACAAAGGAGTCCAATGGAGGCGTTTCAGGCAGGGATGGTTTTGGTTAAAATAATTGGTTTAACCGAGACACGGTTGGTCAAGGAAATTCCTTTCTTTGTTAAAGCCCATCAGAAATAGGGGCCTTGTGTAATAAAATGTTGCTATTCGAAGCCTGCATCGGCATCATAACACTTATCAAGCCATCACTCCTCACAGTACCACCAGCATGTGTACAGACTCTTTTTGCAGCTTCATTGTTGGACAGGAAGTACATAAGCAGCTCATTCACCAAGTGTCCCTCTGTTATCTGTGCTATATATTATCTGCAGGTTTGCCGATCGAGTCAATTACTTTTCTCTCGCTGGAGATAAACACTGCTGTCCATTTCCATGGCAACTACCCACCCAGGAGCCGCATATAGCATTGGTACCAAACAGGGACATGCCACGCGCTAACACCTGACCGTTATCTTTAATGTGCTCCTACACAGGCCTTAACAGGAAATACATGTTTGTGTAATTCTTGTGGTTTCCTGTCAGCTTTCTATAGATGATCTGTGGTGTCATTGTCGAGCGATGGCTCTCTCAGCTGTCAGATTAAAAGTAGCCGCAGATATGCACCATTTGTTCCCCCTCTGTGCAAAAGCTCACCTCTTTA